CGGCAGCTGGGGGACAGGGTGTGTGCCATTGATCTCTGCAGCCGTGACAAAGCAGCTTTTTGCCATTACGGTAGGGCAGGTGCAGGAGAGATGTGTAGGTGTTGGAAGCGCTGCTGTCCAGCCGTACCCTCAGGAGCGGCCGGCTGGGCTGGGGGACACGGGCAGGTAGCACGGTGTGCCTTCCACACGGGCGTCGGGAATGGGCAGGGGTCTCTGTGTACACACACACACACACACACGGTGCGTGAGGAGGCTGCTGCCGGGGAGCTGTACAGGAAATGAGAGACAGTCTGACAATTCTCAGATTAGTTTGACACGGTTTTGACACTTCTAAGCGTAGTGGGATGTGAAGAGTAAACTCAGCAGCATTTTTCTACAAAAGCAGATTTAGAGTGGTATGGTGAAAGACGGAAGGCGGTGTTACTTCAGAGAGTTTTCTTCATGAGGGTAATTCAGCAAGGAGTTGAACTAGAAGCACTCATTCAGTGTTGGTGACACTTGAACCGATTCCCACTTAAACCCCAGCGTTGCGTGGTCAGGTTAGGAAGAAAAGGAGGGGGAAAGCAGAATGGGAGTATAAACCCAGCACCTGAGCTAGGGTAACATCAGGGGGAGATGTCCCTTCTTTTAAAGCCAGGATTTTTGTGGTTTGCTTTTCTAGGTGGCTCAACGAAGCCAAGTCTTATCGGTTTCTTTCTGAACCCGCTTGCCAGCCAGAGGAACAGTGGACAGGCTTTAATTCCAGAGTAAATCTCTGATAGCCTGGATTGAGGCTGTTGTAACTCAGAGCAGAACTGATCTCCTACACACAGGATCAGTAGATACAAGATTTTCACAATGAAATGCTTTAAAATATGATGCAAGGAAAGATTGTGATTCGGGTGGCTTATTGTCTCTGTAACCTGAATTAGACTATAATTGCATATCTCTGTTGATGACGGTGCTAAGGTCAGTGCAAGCATGCACTGAATCAATTAATTTGTGACAGCTGAAATTTTCCCCAGCTCAGCCTTTGGATTTCATTCAAGACTTTCTTTAAAGAAACAACAGTGTGTTAATTTGCTACATGCTTTATTTGAAGCATTCTGGAAACCTAGAACAAAGTCTTGGATTTTTTTTTATTTGCCTAAAACTCCGGCTGACTTCAGTGGGAGCATTACCCAAGAAGGGAGATAAAGTGTGAGTCTTTTATGTGGTTAAATAGATAATTGATATGGGTGCAGTTATACCACTTGTTTTTAATATAAATAGCAGTGTGCTTGCTAGGCAGAGAGAGGTGGGTAGTATAGTAATGGCATTTAGAACTATTTTAATGAATATCTAGTTTGGGATTAGGTTGAGTGTTAGTTGTTATCATTATCCATTATTATCAGGTGTGTATTTACAGGGGAGGTGAAAGAGGCATTGGTCATCACACAGAGCTGACGGGGATGGTTGCTGCAGATATGGAGGCTCCATCTTCCTGTCGAGCTTGAGTCCATCCCTAGTTATTGCATTAATGTTTTCTCACTCACTGAATCATGCCTGAGATTCAGCCTTCAAAGTCAACGATCAGTATCTTGTGAAAGAGGAGGCTAAGTGATTCTCAGCCTTATGGTGGTAATCTTATGCATGTAAAGGGTAGTGGCTTAATTAGTGAAATTAAAATGGAAGTCTAATGATGAGCTGTTTGTATTAAGTAGGAGTAAAATGTAGCTTTAGAAGAGGCTGCCCATGACTTCGTTAATATGCTTCATATTGATTGATAAGGATTTTAGTGGCACTTTTTTCCCAACTGTTAGGTGTGCTATGATGCAGTGACTTGAAAGGTATTTGATGTGTAAGGCAGTGACAGTGTAACATAAGTAAGTCACACAGTTTAGATTATCCTTTTTTTAAGGCTGTACAGGGGAAATGTGACTTTTTGGTTCTTCGTTAGAACTAATCTGATTTCTAATTTTATTTTAATAAAATTTTAATTTATTTTAATTTTATCCTGTATAAATAGAATAGAAAAGATGTAATGCAGTAGAAACACTATCTGAAACGTATCTGTAATTAACTGATTGTGTTTGCTTCTTTTAGGGAAAATCCAGAACGTACCTTTGATTTGGTGCTGAAAGTAAAATGCCAAGCTTCTGAAAATGAAGGTAATATACCATGCTTATTGATATTTATTTCTATAAATGAGAGGTGGAAACAAAAGAATTAGCATCCTGATCTAGTATCATCTTATGTTTTCAATTGCTGTTGGATTTGGATTGTATTAGAAAGCAACTATGTTTATTTTATTGCTTTTTAAAAAATCTATTAATGTGTTAACAATGAAAACCCACAACAACTGTGAATTATGTTTTCGTGTTGGCTATTGTAAAAATATTTTTGTTCCGAGAGAAACACTGTCAAAGCTTGGACTTCAAATGCATCTTCTACAGTTCTTAAGTCTTAAAATGGTGATTTTGAATAAGATTTCATTTTGGCAGAGCAGTTGACTTCTATCTGTCAGTGGAATGTTAAATTTGATCAGGTAGGGAGAAAGTAAGTTCTCTCAACAGCAGAAAGATACTTTCTTTCTCATGTTCGGCAGCTGCTTTGGTTTGATACATGATACAAACAGCACTGAGTGCTGACTTGAGCTTAGCCATTGGTTTCCCGTCTCATAAAACACATGGTAAAAGAGATGTAGTAGTGCACGAGTTACCTGAGCGAGGCTTTTTTCCTTTTGGGTAAAAAGAAAATGGCACTTTCCAGTGCTGAAATGAAAGTGACCTCTAGAAAGTCTGTTGAGGGAACTCGGTTATGTTCTCATCCGAGGTTGTTTGCCTTATAAAAACACAGGGAAAGAAGAAGCCTTGTTGGGGTTGTGTCTTAACCACAATTGTAAAAACAATAAACTGCATCTTAAGATTGAGTATGTTTCTTAGCCTACTGTGCTAATGGATGCTGTTTCCAGAGTTTACTACTCTAAGTTAGAAGCCTGTAGGAGTTTGTGGTCCCAAACTATTCTCTTTTTTTTTTTTTTTTTTTTGTAATTTCAGCATACGTTTCTATTAGTGGTCTCATGGGTATGTGCCTAATTTGTTTACAAAAAACATTCTTGTTGAAGTGAAATGATTTAGTGCTCTAGGTCTTTTCCTTACAATCTCCACAGCCTTTTCTGTACCTGGTGTATTATATATTATCCATTACTGGCATCTCAAGTTCCCTTCCTTTTTTTTTTTTTTCCTTCTTTTTTTTTTTTTTTTTTTTTTTTTCTTTTTTTCTTCTCCTCTTCATAAGATTGTTCATTTAGTTGTGGAATGATGTCTCAGTCCTGGTGCAGTCCTTGGATATTTTCTTTTCTTTTTTTTTTGTGACCAGCCAGTGTCCTTTGGTTTATTGTCTGCTTTTTTGATCTGCTGTTGGTACAGACATGGTTTGGGAAATTTGATGGGCTTTCCTAACTCTTTGATAATTGTTGTGGTCTTACCTTCTGTTCTCTCCCTTTTGCAGTTTTACCGTAGTAATTTCATAGATGATGTCTGTGAACCCTGCTTAGCTACTGGACTTCTGATCTGTTCCTCCTTGCATTGCGCATTTAGTCTCTGCCTCCACCTGGCATCCCTTCCTGGGGGCCCGTTCACATTTCGCCTTAGGCCCAGCTTCAACCTGCAGATTTTATTCCCTTTCTGCCTTTCCCTCCCAAGAGCTAGATGGTTGATAATTCTTTCAGGTCTTCAAGGTCTTCATCTTGAAAGCTTGAATAATGTGGGTTTTTTTTTTTTTCTTTCTTTTTTTTTTCCCCCCTGTGATCAGAACGTGGATTTATATCCTTTTATCTCCCTTTTGACTTCTGATTTTTGTTTTGCATCTTTCTGCCTCTGCTGTCGTAGGAAACCACTTCTTGTTACCTGCAGCTCTGTGAATGACCACCTACACCTGAATTGTGGTCGTGGTCACTTCCCCTGCCTCCCTCGGTTGGTGTTTTGTGCTGTTCATCAGTTGTCCTCTGTGGAGAGTAGTGTCTTGGAGAAATCTGTGTATCTCTGTGAGCGGTGACCTCAGTTAACATGCAGACTGTATTTGTGACTGCACTGCGAGTACACCCTCTTCTGTTCCACTTTGTGCTGTCATCCCTTCTGCCCTGCGTGGGCTCAGTTGCTGTTCCTCCGTGGGGTGGCCAAAGGCAGAGAGGAGGTCTGATACCAGTAGCGTTGGAGTCTGCAGTGTGTGAACACCGAGGGGGTTTAGGGGTGTTTCAGCTGGCCTGGAGGTTATATTGATACTTGCTTGATCAACACAGAAGTACAGTCACATTTTACCAGTCTAGTTGTGCTGGCTGAATATTCTGGTTACCATCCTGCCGTACTTGGTGACCCGTCTGGGATTTGTTTTAATTTCTTTCACATTATATCTAATTCCGATAACAAATTCACTCCAGTGAGGGCTTGACATGATATTTACATATGGTATTATGAGCACAGTGATGTATCAAATTAATATATCTGAACATTCAAGTTATTTAAAGGAAATTCACAGGGGACAAAAGTGCATTGTCTTCCCCGCCACTTCAGAAATGGAGCACAAGGCTTGTCATGCTAAACAGGGAGCTTTCAAGGTTGGTTTATTATAAGGCCTAACAAATTTGACAGTTACCCTGTATTGTAGGTCTTGCCTTTAAATAGATTTTCATGCTAGGATAATCTTTTGAATATATCATACTTGAAAACGTGTTCCATTCACCTGTTTCTTTGCCCGTGCCTCTTTCTTTCTTGTGAAAGAGATTTGTGTTTAAATAGGGGCTTTCTCCCTCGCATCCCATCTGCTCCTTGTACTTGATCCTGAAGCTATGTCAGGGCTGAATTTGTGACATCACTGTCACCAGTGTTGCCGTGGAAATATCACAGCCACAAAATTACAATCTCTCTGCATGAGTGAGCAGCAGGAGAAGCCAACTTTGGAGAGAGGAAGACCTTAATGTGACCCATGTATCTTTAAGCTTTTTCTTTTCAAGCTTTGCTGTAGTGTGCATTTTCCTGTGTTTTAATTTCCCTGTGCCAGAGTGTAACTGTTCTAACAAATAAAAATGGAGGTAACCCTGCTGCGTGTGTCACTATTAATAAGGTGATGTTTTTACGAGGATGCTATATGCCTGCAACAGTGTGACATGATGAAAAATTTTGCTGTTAAAATTATTATGCTTTTGGAAAAGTATTTTTAGATAACTTCTTAATTCTAGCATAGCTCTCAAGGAATGTTAATTTTTCGGATCTGACAATGTCCTAGGGCTCCTCCAGCACTAAAGGGTCATGCATATGTGAAATGCAGCAAGGTTTCTATGTATTATGAAATTTGTTCTCAAATCATTCCACTAATTATTTCCAACATTGTTTTCTATTCAATGTAAGAAGTTTCATGTAGGTTAATGTAAATTTATCACTTCAGGCATGGTATGGAGTTCCTGAATTGGTTACAGGCTCATGTGCTGGTGTGTCTTTACTTATAGCTGGATCAAAGTTTTATTTTCCCACTGGATACTTGTTTTTTTTGTGATTTAAGAGTAGCTTGTGTACTTGAATATTTGTTTCTCAATACTGTGTTGTTGATTGAGTAGATCATCCTCTTGCACAACACCATTGCTCGAATACTCACCTTCTAACCTGTTTCTCATTTTGGGGGCAGGAGAGAAAAAGGGTATTTTTTACATAAATATTCTTATAATTGAGCCCTCCATTGAACTAATAGCATTTTTTGGTGTTGCTGACAAGCTTTGTTTATTCTTCACTTGGGTTATGTTAAAAAAATGAATCTTCTATTTATTGGGGGAGCTTAATGCCTACTCAGCATATGGATATGGTTCCCTCAACAATCTAGAATATATTGTTTACTGTATTTTCAGAGTAACTGATGCTTTTGATGTTACACTACACCTAAGACTTTACCTTGAAAGTTGCATTTCAACTGTTTTTAATGAAACAGCTGAGGCATATATTCCAAAGAGCAGGAAAAAACCTTTAGGACTGAAATGGGATTGTAGCCCATGTCGTAGCTTCCAGTCCTTTGCAGCATGGCCAAGATGGTAAGCATCAATTAACATGTGATGAAACATAGTAACTACTTGGTGTGACAACTTTTTCTTAGGAAAATTCATAACCCAATTCTCGCAAAATTTTGAGATGAGTTAACTTCTGTTCACCAGAGTTTGCTAGGCAGCTGGGAGATGAGCGCTAAGCTGTTCTAACAGCACAGTATTTGGTAACTGAATTTGGCTTGCAGTGTCAGTAGCACCTTATAAAGGTTTTACATTGCTTCCCAGGCAGTTGCAGATTTTCTTAATTCTTTCCTGTGTCACTCCTTAATGAACAAGTAAAGAAAAGAAATATCAAAAATGTGTGCCCATTTTAACATCATCAGCTGGCCTTCTGTGTTATGTTTTCACTTACAGATCCAGAGGACAACTTGATAACAGATATTATCGAAACTGTTGTGTTATTTTAAGGATGAGCATTGCTCTTTAGCTTTAGGGTAAAAAGATGCAAGTTTTTTTCACTTTGGGCTGAATCACCCTTTCTAGGTATCAGGAGTAATGCAGTGTTAGAGTTGTCCTGAGTAGTCTTAAGGGAGGCTATTGATTCAAGATTGTGTGAGAGCTGCACCTACAGCAAATTTGGTACTCTTGTCTCTTGGAAGTTTTACTGCACTAGGCGCTGTGAGATATGCTTGAGCCTAGAAATTGCTGAACCAAAGCTTCCCCCTCCTTTGTCTTTTTTCTTTCCAGGTCCTTCCATCATAAAAAGTCAACTGAATTTCTGGAATGTTGATGTTTCTGAACTCTTCCCAGGACACATCCAAAATAATAGCGCCGGTGTAATCTTTGTGAAGAGTGTGTATTTATCTATGTATCTCTGCATGCACAAGCGTATACAGGATGTGCATACACACATATATGCCTGAACTTTCGATTTGGGTTAAATGTGCAAAGATCAAGTTGGTAATTGAACTCATTCTATAAACTGTACATCCTGTATTGATTTTGTTACACTGGGCTGCAGAGGCCAGGCACAAAAGGCAATGCAAATGTAGCAGCTAGCAGTAGGAAGGCAGCGTGCAACAACTTCTGTGAACATAATGTCATCAGCAGTTCTGTTCGTGGTTTGTTTCCCCACGAGAT